GTTTGGGCTCGTTTCTGTCATGGTGGTAGTGATTTTCAGCTGGGCGGCAGCTGCACCTACACCTCAATCTGATCCGTAAATGGAGTCCCTCAAGCTCTGAGTTGCTCAAGTTGCCACCCCGACATTCCATGCAGCCTTGAATCTCCAAGCCTGTAACCCTGAGCATTTGCGGTGGGAGCCAACCCTGTGCTTTCCGCACAGCAGCAGGGCAAGCTCGCAAAGCTGGGCTCACGGCTGCGTTAAGCATCACCATCGCCCTTACAACTGATAATCCCATCTTTCCATAGTTCACAACAGGCAGTAGTTTCAGCAGTTGTCGGAGTTGTAGTCGGAGACGTAGTAGTTGTCGCCGTGGGCGTCGTAGTAGTAATAGTAGTAGTCGTCGCCGCCGTCGTCGTCGTTTGCGCCGTCGTCGTCGAAGTAGTAGGAGGAGGAGGAGGAGTAGTAGTAGCAGCAGCAGCAGCAGCAGTAGTAGCGGTAGCAGTAGCGGTGGCAGTCGCTTCAGCAGAAGCGGTGGCGGTAACGGTAGCAATAGCAGTAGCAGCAACAGTAGTTGTAGCAGAAGTGTAGTTGTAGCAGAATTGTAGTAGTAGTAGTAGTAGTAGTAGTAGTAGTAGCAGCAGCAGCGGTAGAAGTAGCAGTAGCCGTAGCAGCAAGGGTATCAAGCGCAGTAGCAGCAGCAGTAGCAGTATTAAGTAGCAGTAGTAGCAGTTGTAGTCGTCGTCGTAGTAGAGGTAGAAGTAGTAGTAGCAGTAGTAGTAGTAGGAGTAGTAGTAGTAGTAGTAGTAGTAGCAGTAGTAGTAGTTACTACCACGACGACGGCGACATAAAACCAATGGGGTACAGTACAGCATTGGTTGATGGCTCTAGCACCCACATGAAACCAAGTACCATTACTTGCAAAACGAAAGCCCGAACCTCCAACCGCCGTTCCACATCCAGAGCTTGTGCCGAGCCTTGTGGGAGTCTCTGCGGCTGTGGGAGCGAGGATAGGGTTGCAGACATCGAGACCTCATGCGGCGGAATAGTAGAAGCCAAAAGTCAATCGCCGTGACTTCTTCTAGTCATGTCAGCTGCCGACTTAGCTTCACAGACACGCCGCGACGAGCCAAACTCTCAAAGGGAGGGCTAAGAAGTCATGTGCGGCGTGAGTCTATGCAAGGTGGGGGCATTTTGGTTGAGAAGCCATAGGGTTAGAAGCAAGGATGATGTTTAACAAAATTATGACGTGGCCTCAAGTGTGCATTCGATTCTTCCCTGGAGTGATGCCTGCTCTGCCTCGTGATGGTGTGATAAGTGTGTCCGATATGGCAAAGGCCCATCTTCGAAAGCCTGATTGGCTTGAGAGTCTAGAGTGACATGAGGCCATAGATTGGAAGCCAGGTTTCAGCAACGTCAGCCTGCTTTGCTGGTCATAAAGGAGGAAGCAAGCTGTAGCCACAGATATCCTACATGTATTTGGCGTGCCCTCCGGACCCGAGCGCTTTGCATCCGAAGCATCCCTGCATTTCGACCATAGCTCCAAGTTTGGGGGGGCAAAACATGGCAGCACGATTCTTGATTCGATAAAGGAATGATGACCGTGCATGTAGAAGCGATGTAGAACTCTAGCCGACAGCAGAGGAGGCTGTCAGGCGACTTCCCGCTCCTGCAACCGGCTTATACCGGCTTCTGGCACCACCAGATGTTTGTGATTGACTTGACAGTACAAACTTCCGTTTTCCCGCATCAGGATATTGGAGCCGTACTTGTTCGGCGGATGCCATCGAAGTTGGTTTGAGCGTGGACGCGTTCCCTCTGCCGTGGCAGAAGCGCGCAGGTGCTGAGACGCTCGGGTCGAATGTGCTGCGCAGCCGTTCGACCAGGGGCTGCCTTTAGAGTCATATTTGGTAATCAGGGGTGATAGTTCCAGAATAGCGATGTAGGCATAGTGCCTGCTATCGGTGTATCTCGATACACGGACGACAGAACGAAAGAGCAGGTTTGAGTTAAAGCTTTCTGCTACCAGGCGGAGTCTGTAGCTTCAGGTGAAAGGCTCCCGCATCGAAGCCGACCCATCGACTACTAACAGCACACGGGATCGCTCAATAGTCAGCTTTGTCCTCGGGGTTTGTTCTGCGTTCAGTTCGTCATATATATATATATATACATGTATATATATATATATATATATATGTGTGTGTGTGTGTGTTTATATATACATAGAATACATATACATACCTGTTTATCTATCCATCGAATTAGGGGTTTGTGTGCAGTGGAGAATATGCATAGGGATCATACACGGGCTGGCCATAATTTGCAGATGGCTTCCTAGCAGCTTGGACCCCTCGCTTGCAAGTCAGGCCCTTTGAAGATCCCGTCTATAGCGCAGAACGCCGCGCACTGCTCCGATTGATTCTGAAATCTATAACGTATCTCCGTATCTCTGATGTCCACAGACCAGCACCAAATCGAAGGCCCCTCATGACCGAAGTTGGAACAGACATCAATCAGAGGACCGAACAAGGCACTGGTCAGGACCTCAAAGTGGCTGCACAGCCCTTGACGCGAAACACACTTGGGGAAGTGGTAGCTGCGGCTTGTCCCTGAGACTTCGCATTTTCGGGCACCTGCCTTTTCAGGCACTCACTTCTCCGGCGTTGTGCTCAATGAAAAGCTACATGTTGGTTTTGAGGGTTTTGCTCCACCTGAGCGTACGGTGTAGGGTAAATCAGATTTCGATGGGCTCCAGCATTGTACCCCGGTTGAACCCTCCCTTCATCCGGTAAGAAATTCACAGCCAAGGGCAAGGAGCCCCTGCCTCCGCAAAGCTTTATTTTGGCTCATTTGGGGTGTGTCCCCTTCTACACGAAAGCTCAGCCAGCACTCTGTTCAAAATTCTACCCCCAAGATCGTAGCTCTAGCACATCTGAAGCTTCGAGCAGCTCAAGAGCCCTACAGAGAGACAGCTCGAAAAGATTGGCAAGCAAACGGTGCAGCCAAAGATGGCTCGGCAGCATGGGTGTCGAAGCGCCGCTGGGACTTTTCAGAGGTTGCTGTAAGGGTATGCCGACATGCCCAGACCATGCCTCGATACTCACAGAGGGCTTCACAAACTGGTACAGTGTGCTCGCTTGAGATCCTCAATCCTCTCAAAGTCTGGTCAATCATCACGGAACTGAAAAGCACCGGCCCCTGCAAGTTTCCGCAAGGACAGGCAGTTCTCAACCTTTGGAGTCAAATGCTTATGAGCTTTTAGGCTCCCTTGCTTCCGGGCCGGCCTCACTTCCACGAGCCACAAACCCTGAGCCCAGAGGAAGATTTTCGGCCTCGCCGGGGAGCTTTGCCGGCTCTCCGTCCCAGCTGGGCGGATCAAGGACCTCAAAGAGGCACCCTCACACTTCCTTTTCTGTGCCTTGCGTAACCGCTACAATGTCAAAAAGGCCCGGAATAATCGGTGTCGCAATACTTAGGGAGATCTTGGGCTCAAGACAAGCTCTCATTGTCAAGCTTCCTTGCAACATCCTCGCGTTTGGGTGCTTTGGGCAAGGCTCTGCCAGCTTAAAGAAACCGTTGCCATGAAGTCCGCAAGCACCAGTTGATGCCAGGCCGTATCGGAGTCGTTGCAGGCGGGCCGCATGCTGTTTTGGTTGAGGTTCGTTGGCATGGCCTACGAGTCTGCGAGATGCACTCATCTTGCGGCACGCAATGTGAACTGAAGTTCTGAGCAAGCCATTGCTTCGTACCGTTACCGGGATCCACGCCCATGCTCAGCAACAAGAGCTATGCCCTGCGATTTACCTTGTGGCCGGCCCTCACGAACAGACCAAAATTCTGCGTTGAGATGCCCTCCTGGCCCTGACAGGTGGAGTTGGGTCAGCTTCGCTTGCTCCACGAACTTCGTGAGGCCGGTTCCTCCGTCAGACAGTGCAGCTCTAGCTGGTCTCCTTAATTGTGCCTGACCCATGGCATGACGACAGAAGCCATAATTAGAGCCTGCTCTCTGCAATTTGAGCCGTTTCATTCTAGAAGACATGGGATGATGAAATCGGTGCAGTGTGGTGCGCACTTCTCAAACCACAAGCCTTTGTGCTGCTTCGCATTCCAACGAACTTGTTTCACCGGCCTTGTTCTCCGACCCAAAGGTTTGAATTAAGACCCCGAGTCATCTGTTCTTTTCAGCCTATGTCACCGCGAGCATTGGGCAACTGTGGAAGCCTTGCCTGCCTTGTGCGAGTGCGAGAGCCGAAGCTGATGGCAATGAGGTTCAGGATGAGGAAGACCTGCCAGAGTCTTCAGGGCGACTCGGACTTCGATTACTTCCGAGTTGCCGGATTTAATCTTTCTGGGGCTCGGGGCGTCAACCTTGAGTGGGGCTCATCAGTCAGGTTTTCCTGCACTTCAGGGTTATTTGGGCTGACCCGGTTCTGTTGTTTCGATGGTTGTTCATCATTGAGTGAGGAAGGGAGGGTGGGCGGGATATCTGATTGCCCTTGATGCTGCGGGTTTCGGGGAACTGTTAGCACAATGCAGAAGGAGGATCGGGCGCATAGTAGAACTCAAGCTCGGCTTGACAGAGCATTGGGTTTGCACCTTTAAGCTGGGCAACACGCAGGCAACATGTTCGCATCGGACCTTCAAGCCCTCGCTTTAACTTCAACCCCTGCGAGCGTCGACTTGCACGAATCGGGTTTTGGGGTCCATTACACTATAATCATAATAAGGAGTCCAATGTCCCATGACTCCTTGCAAGTTTGGGTCGCTCCGAAACCCAAACGCGCACACAAGCCCACAACCAAAACTCTTCTCACGCTGAGATTCAGCACAAGGGATTTCACTCAAACCAAGCCTGTCGCCGCGCCAGTCTCATTCGACTTTACAGCACAAGTCGCTAGGATCCAACCAGCTTGAGTCTGAAAGAAGTCGAGGAAACGCAGGATTGAATCAGTGAGTCAGACAGACTCGAAGTTGAGAGACGAGAATCGTGAACGTAAGTGTGCAGCATGATGCAGCAAGCAATGCTGCCGATGCAGCCAATGTTTCTCCGAGCTGGGCGCGAGGCAAGCTTCGCGCCGCCGCTCCCGCCTATGTTTTCTCATACCTACGGCGTACCTGTCGCAGGGCCAGCCGCACAGGGCCCGGCGTGGAGTGTGTGCACGACAAGCCACGCGTCTCATACTTCGCACAGGGCCTCGTCGAAACTTCCAACCAATGGGAGTGGAAGCAAAGATGCCAAATCATCGAGTTCGCAGCCATTGACATAATCACCGGCGAAAGCTTCAGTGTGCGATGCCGACCTCAGTTCAGCTGGCAGGACGTCAGGTCCCATGCAGCACGCCGCTTTGCAGAGGAGCACGGTCATCACGAAATCATCGAGGATATGGGCTTGCCACGCTTCGAGGAAATCTGGCACTCCGAGCTGATCCCATTCCTGCAGCGTGTCGCTGGGGGAACAGGGAACGTTGTGCTCCTCGCTCACAACGGGGCAGCCTTCGACGAGTTTGTGTTGAAGAAAGAGATCGCCCGTCTTCAGCTGGACATGTCTTGCTGCCCAACGTTGATGTATGTGGACCCGGTGTCCGCGGTTAAGGACAATTACCATGATCCATCAGTGGCCGCAGAGTATCGGGGCCGACACATGAGCCTGGCCTAGCCCTGGTAGATATGCATCAGAGGTATGTCAGCCATTCGAATCGTATATTCCAGCAACATCAGGCACTAGACGACTGCCATTTGCTCCTCGATGTGCTTCGCCATGCTCCATATGTGGCAGATGCTTTGGCTGCCCAAATCTGCAACATGATTGGCCTCCATGTGCCGGACCGTGCCAGCATGCTGCGCAATCGATTGCAGAACCCGTTGAACATTCGGGACCCCCTTTCGGCTCCACGCATATTCGAGTACTGCGGGAAGTGGTACTTGTTGAAGACCATGCCGTTCCTTCCGGCACAACTCGTCCTTCCGGCACCACCTGTGTTTGTGCCTATGCCAGTGCCCACGCCAGGTGCTGCACTGGCTGGGTCGGTTGTGCCTCACCGCCTCCCACACCCCCACCAGATGAGACCATGATTCCACCACCACCGCCTCCCACACCCGCACCAGATGAGACCATGCTGCCATCACCGCCTCCGGTTGTGCTAGCTACGGTTTCCCAGCCGCTGGGAAGCCGTAGCTGGCACAACCGGAGGCGGGTCCCAGTCCCCGAGCCCACCGTCTTCGCCGCCGACCTTTGCTCCGGCCACGCCGCCAATGGCACCGGTTACGGGCTGTCCGCACCGTCTCGGATGTGCGGATGTGAAGGATAGTTTGAAGAAAGAGATTTCGAAGGAGAAGCGCACGAAGAAACATCGAGCGGATTGGTGGGATGGCTATTGGGGCGACCATGGACATGACTGGTGGGCCTGGTCCAGCTGCGCCTACGATTCCTCCTACCATGGATTACGGAAAGGGAGGCTAACAGTCTTGCGGAAAGGGCCGCCAGAGAGGCGGAGGTGCCAAAGGCAAAGGTGGGAAGAGCAAGGCCAAAGGCGGAAAAACGGCCTCTCCGGTGGCTGCAGCTCCTACTACGCAGCAGCCCACTCGTGCCGAGAGGTCCACGGTCACGAAAGCCTTCAAGTACCAGTGAGAGCTCGCGTGGGTCTCTTGTGGTTGGGGCCTGATCCCTTTTAGGCCCCTCAGTGTGTTTAATCAGTTGGGATTGCTTCGAGACAAAATTGAACTGAAGGACCCACGGAGAACGGCGGAAGTTTCCCGTGTCTCACTGTCGCATCTATCCTTGCCTAGTATATGACCGAATCTGAGCATCAAAATTGGGGACTCCCTTTTGTCTCTTGAAGATTACGTTGCATTATCGTAATAAGACTAAACGGGGCCACAAAACACCCACGAACACTCACCTTCGAGCCTCCGGCTGTTCTGGAAAGATTCCCACTCCGCAGTCTCATGACTTAGGCCACCCACCTCGCCCGGCGACTTCCCGAAAGCACCCAAAAGTCTGCGGAAGACACCGTGGTGGAAGCTGGACGATTCGTGCTGGATGGTTCCCTCCTGTCTTTCCTGTGGGTACCCATTGGAAGCCTGGATAGATGTGGATGGTAGCTTGCCATCCGGCACCAAATCTAAACAGGCAACCGACTTCGCAAGGCCTAACCCCTCGGAGCACCAGAGCCCTCGAGAGCATGTGAATGGCCCTGAAGAAGCTCAGTAAAACGACTTATCCACAAATCAAGTGAGTCACTCAGGGCGCCCCTGGAATTTACTCTGGTCAAGCGTCCGGAGGCCTCGCAAGGGAAAAGGGCAGAAGGACTTTGGGGCTTGGGATCCAGCCCCCATGCTATGAAGACCCTGCCGAGCTCCTGCGGCTGAGACTCTCCTTTAGCAACATGCATAAGGACCATGAGGATTTTAGGACAGGTGGCATGAATGGCTTCTTCGATTCAGGGATGTGCTGGTTGTGGCGGAGGTGTGGCATGTGGGCACGGCACAATGTGCTTCGGGATTTACCGAGTTTTTGAAATCTGAGTGCGGTCTTGCGACGCATGGCCGGTGAATGCCCCGGGTGCAGCCGCAGGAGCAGGCGCGCTGGCTCTCCGATATGCGTGAAGGGCACGTCAGATTGCTGAAGGCCGTCGCCGAAAGCTTTCGCCGGTGTTGCCTCAAGCTTCGAACTTGGCTGTTTCTTGATAGCCATCTTCATATGCTGGGCATCGTGCGAAGCTGCAGTAGTTTAGTCGGGACGTTTAAATGGGCTCCAGCAACATAGTCTTTTGTTGGGCTGTCAGTCTCAGACTGTACTGTAACGAGCAGCGCAGGACGCGCCGCTGCACATCCGCGCTGATCCCGAGGTGATCTTCGCGGCGGTTGCTGCTTGCGGACCGCACAGCCGATTCGGGCAGTAAGGAGTGTGGTTTCCTTTCACTACCTCAGGGTGCCGCTTGTGCTTCTACACCTGAAACTTGGAAGCCCAAATCCCACCGTAGTGCCCCGAACATACTTCCGAGACCGTCTAGGCAAGATTCCCGGCGGTTCCAATCACCAGGACAAAGCTTGGAGCATGCCGCCGAGGCCCTTCGCGCAGATAGAGCGACACCTGGCCATCCAAACTTTTCAGCATAGCTTTGGGGAGAAAGACTTGCTTGTACGGCTGATTCATCATGTCCAGTAGTGGTCACTGTTGCACTGCTAATTTTCTTCGATGTTCTCTACACTTACCTTGACGACGACACTATGGGAGGGGGGCTGCACATGTCCGCTGAGGCCCCGGGCTATCCATCCTGGACCCCTCATTTTGGTGTGACCTTCACTCTTTTTCAAATAGCAAGTGCGGCAGTTTTGGATCTCCCAGGATTGCACTAGCTGCTGTTCAATCCGACTGGCGGGCTCTGCAGTTTGTGGACGAGGTCATGTGGGCCCTTGTGGCACGGGTTGTCTTGTCCATTGTCGGAGTCACTACAATGCTTCAACCATCGGCAGTTCTTGAGAAGCAGGACCTTGTTGTGGTAACCTTCGAGCTTACAGCTCCAGGCGCTGCGTGATGACAGGCAGCTCGTGCTGACGGCCGTGAAGCAGGACTTGCAGTCGCCCTTTGTGTAGAGCATTCAGGAATCACTCCCGCGTGCACGCATCCGTTAGAGCGGTATTGGTGCCTCTTGTGGTGGTCGTGGTCGTGGTAGAAGTAGTGGTAGTAGTAGTAGTAGTAGTAGCAGCAGCAGCAGCAGCAGGAGTAGTAGTAGTAGTAGTAGTAGTAGCAGTAGCAGTAGAGCAGCAACAGCAGCAGCAGCAGCTGTAGCGTGCAGTAGCGGTAACAGCAGCAGTAGCATTAGCACTAGTAGCCAGAAGGCTGCCGGAAGACTCAACCTCAATGACTAAACCTTTAGATGAAGGAAGCCTCCGTCGCGAGTTGTTGGAGAGGACTGGTGCGCTCTTCAGTTCGCGAGTGATTCACTCCGGAGCGACCGAGAGATCGCCTTAGCTGCCATCTCCCAGGCCAGTTTGAGCAGCAGGAGCATCAGGTTTGAGTTAAGGTATGGCTTGTGGAGTCTGAGATTTCAGAAATCCGAAGGACTGCCTGCAGCATTTTTTGGAGACTGAGGGAGCATGCCTCAACGCCCAACTTGTCCGAAAAGCGATATCCTCGCAGGGTTGGGGCGCCATTCTGCTCCTTGGCCGCGCTCTTTATTTTGCTACGTCAGTGACAGTGTTTTGTTGTTCTGTTCCGGTTGTGAACGGTTTTTCTCTCGTCAGCGTGCAGCTATCATTCGCGACAGCTTGTCGGTATCATACTTGTGGATTATCTAAGTCCCCGCCAGCACCACGTAAGCAGCAATGGCCCCATCGTCTACTGTATCTGGTCCGTCCTCATGGGCTACATTTGACAGGTGAACGTCTGCAAGCTTGTTGATTCCCATGGCTTCTAGCATTTGCACCCTCGCCATGAATGCCCCTCGCCCTCGTATCCATGAGGGTCGGCATGCAACATTCGTGCCTGCTCGCAGGTGAAGAGTAGTCTGAGCCCACATAGCAAGTTCAGAGCGTGGGCCGTGGGGGAGGAACCGAGAGGAGGGGCGCCGGTGGTTCCAGGTCCCCACACTGGTGCTTAGTGTTTGCGCGTACATGATTCCAGGGAGTATTCGTCGGGATGTTCAAATCCCTTGTAGTTCTAAGGGCGCCCCCCCACCTCGGCTATACTATACTACAGCGCCTGATGGGCACGGATTTGCAGGCAAAACGGCCAGAGAAGGGCTTCTCGTCAGGGTTCTGATGATCACTGTCATCCTGCCTGCTCACTGTCAATACTTGTTTGGCTTTGGGTCATGATCTGTAGTAGTCTAGCAGTACAAGGCTATGACGCTAGTAAGTCAAGAGCAGCTGGACCTTTGCTTACTCTCGTTCTCGACAGGTTCGTGGATCCGTCGCTCCGTGCGGATCCCGCCTTCTTGTTGCCGCGAGCCCAGCCTCCACTGGAGAGCAGGGGAACAGGAGACGACCTGACTGTTGAAGCATGTTTGGTCAGGCAACAGATCACACCCAAGGGAAGTAGGAGAGGTTGCATGTAACGTCATTGTTGCCACAGCTGTGCACGCTGTCCGAGGTCGGCGCTGAAGACGGGCCAGTGCCGTTTGGAGATAGCTGCCTGCAACCTGCGGGACAACAAGGACCTGGCACAGCACATGTTTGTGTTCGAGGACTTTGGTGATCTGTAGTGTCGGTTCAATATGGATTTCGTGCTACTTGGGCCCAACGCTTTTGGCCCGTGGGGACCCAGTCTGGTTAAGATTTACTTGCAGCCTCGAGGTACTCTCACAGGTCACAGAGCTGCCATAGCTGGCCACCGCACAAGATCAGAACTGGCAACAGGAGGTCGTGATGGCGGCTGTTGAGAATCACGGCTTGCATCTCGTCCGCGGTAACTGCATGGGTTGCTCATCAAACCACTCCAGACGGCTACCTCGGCTTGCTGCTTGCTTCAGACAGAGAGAGAGGGCCAGGACCATTTGCACCCCAAAGCTTCAACTCTGCACTATTCTGCACTCATCTTCGCTGCATGTTCTAGATTCGGTTCCCTTTGAAGTAGTGGTGAGGAAGACTTTCTGAAAAGCGCAGTTCTATTTGGCCCAGGTCCTTGGCCGATGCCTCTCCGGCGCTGCAGGCCAGACGGGGCAGAGCCCTGTGGGAGTTGGGGGCGGGGGGGGAGTTCACTGTCTTCCCACTGACTGTGTAACATGCGAAGATCCGTCCTAGTTACCTAGATGAACAATCTGTTGAGTGGGTGTCACCGTTGCTTTGTGCAGGCCGACAAGGAGGTGGTCCTCACTGCTGTTGGGCAGGCTTGGATCGGGACGCTTTGTGTGGCTTCCTTGCCCAGGCCTAGAGGGCTGAAGCAGGGTTTGCGCTGGTGTGTATGTACGTATTTATTTGTTCATGTGGGTTTGGCTGTTTGTCGTGAAAGCGGCATGGGATGTACTGCTGACTGCCTCCCGGCTTCTCGAAACGCTGAACTCGAGCAGTCCGAAGGATTGGCGAGCCTTGCGTCATGCCTGTCGAGCATTGCGCGGGGACCGCGAGGTGGGAACGGGAGCACAGTTTCGTTTTCCGTGTTTCCGAGCTGTGTATGTGCATGCTGTTCCTACGCCGTGGTCTCCTGACGGTTGGCATTCCTCGCTGCAGCATTCCCCAGCATTGCCTTGTCCAGGTCGCACGCAGGGCGGTGGGCCAGGACCCACGTGCCCTGCTCCTCACAACTGCGCAGTTGCAGGGAGACCTCAACTTCACGATGGCGGCCGTGGCGCAGTCGCTTGTCGAAAGGGCAGCCTCGCATACCATAGGAAGCCAAGAAGACTGAAGCGCGCCCGTTGGGCGGAGTGGCTAGACAAAATGCGGAATCAGTGCACCGAAAGCTTCCGGGGCCTTGGTCTTGTAGTCTTGCTATCTTCAACATCCAAGTGAACTTACCCTTTGCCCTGTAATGTGGCATCGGGAAAGAGCTCACACCATCTTTGTGCTGCTGTTTTGCAGAGAGAATCGCGAAGTTCCGTCACCTGCTGGAGCCTGGTGGTCGAGTGCCGGTGCTTTCACTTTTCACGGCCGTGGAAACCGAAGATGCACCTATCTCAGGCATGGTCGAGCCTTGGAGCATGCCTCCAAAGCACTTCGGGGCAACCGCCAGGCCGCGGGCCGGGAGGAGGAAGGGAACAATGCTGTTGCTCTCCCTTCTCCACGACAGTGAAATTTTGTGTGAAAGTGTTGCAGTATGTATGCGTGTGCATCTGCATGCATGCATGCATGTGTGTGTATGTATGCATGCATGCATGCATGCATGCATGCATGCATGGATGGATGTATGTATTTATGTACCATTTAGGAACCAGTTCGTGGTATGCCTGCGTACGTATTTCTGCATGCGCATTGATGGCATAGCGGCATATTCACGCCGTGTCTCTGGACTTCTGCAGCCACGCCATGCAAGTAGGATGCATGGCATGGGTCGAGTGGGATGCTGTGAAAGTCCAGTGCAGGCCAAAAGCTGAGGTAATGAGAAACCCAAAGAGTCCCAAGGCCTCAAAATGAAAAGATGCCGTACTAGTCGCCCGTATACGTGGAAGCATGCCAGATAGCACTCCCTGCGGTAACCTTCATAGTAGACCGTAGTCTCAGTTCTAGCTAGGATTTTTCGGGGGAGATCAAGGGCCAATGCAGAGCCAGACCTGCCGCAGGTGGCGATCGCGGCTGTGAGGCGCCAAATCATCGAAGCGAGTGGATCTGATGTATGTATTGGCTACGTTTGTCTTGGCTTCTTGTTTCTTTATTCGGTTCAGGTAGGTTGAAGCAGACGGCGGGCGGCGGGCGTAGGAGTTCAGAGCAAGCTGCCTAAACTGTCAGGCTTTGAGCTCGCGTTACTTCGGTGCCAGCTGGTGTGCAGACGGTTGCCGCGGTAGCGCCCCACCAAACCACGGAAGCCCGATGATGTTTGCTTTGTGCACGAGAGTGCAGGCAAGACGGCGAAGCCTTGGAGTTCGCTTCTGAGGAGCTTCGCGGAGACGAGGCCGGCTACAGCAAAAGCGCTTCCATGTCGCTCTGCTCGGTGGGAGTTGCCAGGAAGTGGCCTTGGCCGCTTTGGAGCAGAACTGGAGGTGCTCCCTTCAAGGAGTTCTTTGCCGCGTCGTTGATCGCAGCAGACACGGGGGATGTCAAACTCAACCCGTGTGTGTCCACATCAGATAGAAGAACACCCAAGTAGGGGAGCCACGACGGTGGGCCTGATGCTGCAACTGTTTTATTGAATTTGGTCCTGCAGCTTTTCAGCGTATCTCTGCGACACGAACCCATCTAGGTAAGACTTTGAAGATCTGACCTTCTGAATTTCCGGTAGTTGAGCAAACCTGAACGTGGGCCAGGGTAGGGCTGCATGCGGAGTTCGGGAAGTTTCCACACCTAGTGGCAATTCTGAAGCGAGGCTGCATCTGATTTGGCCCAACCATAACCATGATGGCACCAGCACTTGACAGTATTAGAATCTGCCACAGCTTCATCGCAAGAATGAGTATAAAACTGGCATTTGCTACAAGCCGCAGTAGCAACAGTAGTCGCCGTCGGCCTTCGTTGTCGCGGTCGTTGTAAGTCCTTCGTGCCAAACTTTGGGCTTCCTGGTGGTGGCACTGGCACTGCACTGGCAGCAGCAATGGTTGTAGTATTGCTTGTGGTGAATCAGCCGAGCAGCAGTCGTCCTAGTAGCAGTCTTCGTAGCGTAGCAACAGTCGTCGTCGTAGTAGTAGTAGTAGTCGTCGACGTCGTCGTCGTCGTAGTAGTAGTAGAGTAGAGCAGAGCAGAGCAGAGCAGAGCAGAGCAGAGCAGAGCAGAGCAGAGTAGAGTAGAGTAGAGTAGAGTAGAGTAGAGTAGAGTAGAGTAGAGTAGAGTAGAGTAGAGTAGAGTAGAGGTAGTAGTCCTAGTAGTAGTAGTAGTAGTAGTAGTAGTAGTAGTAGTAGCACGTCCTAAGTAGCTCCAATGGGAGCTGCATGGGCAACTCTTTGAATTAGGCTCCCTGTTAGGGTCCCCAAAATACCCTAAACCCTAATTCGTCTCAGCCCAATAGTTTCTCAATAACCCACAGACAACTCTGAGCTCACGACTGAGCTCTCGCTTGGCAATGTCCCTTTCTCTGGAGTTTAGCACTCCTGGCACCGTTCAGCCATGCCATTTGGGGTTTAGGGCTAGGGCTTGGGGTTGAGGGTTCAACTAGGAATTGACGGTTTAGGGTTAGGGTTTGATTGTGAATTGGGTTTGGGCTTGATCAGGGTTTAGGGCAGATCAGGGCTGTCAGAGCAAGAGTAAGGCAGCAAAAGAGGACTGTAAAACGACAGCTAGCAACAAGAGCACCGCGAACTGGAAGAGACCAAAGAAAAACACTGCAGAGAGGATCAAGAGCAACAAGATATACATACATATATATATATATAATATACAAATGAAAACCCGAAAATGTCCCGACAGTATGCCCGTACCACCCCTACCAGTCTAATTTGCAGCCACACTGTATGTCTAGTTTCGTCTTCCGGGTTGACGGTGAAGGGTTTAGGGTGTTTAGTCCTATATCCGACATGCCTGTGCCAGGAGACATCTGCATTCTTAGCAGCTGATGCAAGGTCGCAAAGCTCAGAATGATACCGAAAAATGACGGTAATATATGGGCCTTCATAATTTCAATAGGGTTTGGGGCCCATTATGCCATACTTATACTGAGGAACCCCCAAAATAGTATAGGTAATTCTAATGCTACACTTATAATAAGGAACACCCAAAAAACAGTCTAGGTAATTCTTCTACTATACTTATAACAAGGAACCCACCAAAAAAAGCAGCCTAGGTTATTCTTCTACTATACTTATAACAAGGAACCCCAGGTAATTCTTAAGGCCCCTATAATACTCCGAAGCCTTGGGTAGACTTTCCGAAGCCCCTGGGCCAGGGGCCGATGAGTTGAAGCGTGTCATCCCGGTTCAGCTCAAAGCTCTCGTTGCCTCGGGTTTAGGGCTTAGGGTGTAGGGGTTTAGGGTTTAGGGTGTAGGGTGTAGGGTTCAGGGGTTTAGGGTTTCGGGTTAGGGGTTCAGGGTTCAGGGGTTTAGGGGTTTAGGGTTTAGGGTTTCGGGTTGCGGGTTTAGGGTTTAGGGTTTAAGGTGTAGGGTTCAGGAGTTCAGGGGTTCAGGGGTTTGGGGTTTACGGTTTAGGGTTTAGGGTTCAGGGTTTAGGGTTTAGGGGTTTAGGGTTTGCGGTGTAGGGTTTAGGGGTTTAGGGTTTAGGGTGTAGGGTTTAGGGTGTAGGGTTTAGGGGTGTAGGGTTTAGGGGGCGCTACACTGGGTCGGAGAATCTTGTCTGACACAACGTGTCGCAGAAGACATAGAGAGGAAGCGACCACGAGCCCTAAACCAAACCCTGCAGACTGAACCCAAAACCCTAAAACCTGAACCCTAAACCTAAAAGCCTAAACCCTCGAGCCAGAGAGAGGAAGAAGGGGGGAGGCTCGAATGGGTAGTTCTCTAAATTAGGGTCCCTTCTCAGGTCCCCAAAGGGTGGCCATGCCATTTTGGGGCCCCGAATAGCACGGCCACCGGTATAAAAATGGATCCTACAGTAGAAGCCCAAAAGTTGGAAACCCAATAGCCTTAATTTCTTAAGAGGAACGCATAGGGAATCGCAGCACTAAATGTCCTTCATCCGGTTTCCAACTTTTTGGGGTTTACTATAATTTAGGGAACTACCCAAATGCTCTCGCGGCCAAGAAGCTGTCGCCATCTTCAAAGTCATTCATGGAGAATTTGTACCTCTCAGGATTTCCCTCTTACTGTTGGGGCTATATTAAAGATGATCATTCTTAATCCTCATTGGGTTTTATTATAACAAATATGTAAAATTGTATCCAACAAGGACCCAGATTGAGGGCTTCGATTTTAGGGTTTAGGGCTTGCTCCTGCATCTCATATCCCAGAGATCTACCAACCCTAAACCCTAAACCCATAGATCTACCATGCATTGGGGGCACGAGCCACCGCTCTTGTTGGAGGACTGCTGAGCCAAAAGGTTCGAGATTTGGAGAACCTGGCACAACACTGTCGCATGGAAACCAAAGGAAAGGGGTTTAGGGTTTAGCATTTCGGTGCAAAACGGACTTTCCTTTCTGTCATAAACTTCAGGATAATCCCTTACGACGCGTTATGCGCCCCAATGCGTTTCGTAGAGCTACGACGTGAACATAGCCCAAAGGTCATCGCTTCTACTCCCTTATAGAGCTCCCTTGTAGTATCCATAGCGGAAACAATCGCCCCTCATAGTCGGACCCTCATAATGCTCATGCTCATGCTCGTCTAGTAACCCAGGCTGATACTAACCCTCAGTCGTGTGGCCTCGGATGCCAAGCCGGAATGGCTAACCTTCCATGGTGCAGAGGCTAATGTAGGGGCCTTAATGTTGTTGGGGCCCCTTATACAAAAATTTAGTAATTCTAATCAGGAGCCCCCATAATAGTATTCGTAATTATTCAAGCCCCTACATTAGAAGGGGCTTTCGGGTTTAGGGTCTACGGGGCTTGCGGGTTGAGGGCATAGGTGTATTTGTTCAGGCTTAGAGGGGCTGACTACAGTCAGTCTTCTTGTTGCTGTTGCCACCACGATTGCTGGTACTACAGCCTAGCAGTAGCAGCAGCAGCAGCCGTAGCCGTAGCCATAGCCAGCCGTAGCGGTCGCAGTAGCAGCGCAATAGCAGCACCTGCGCACACATTGTCACTTGACTCCTTGTTCCGGGCATGCCTCTGCCGTTCCTTCTCCAACAGAAGCCATGGCTCTTGCTTGCTATCAAGAATCCTACAGACCCAGACAAGGCACGAGGATGCTGAATGTCACCTTGGCGAAAAAACGCAGAGATAGTTCGTAAGGTCGAGTTCGGGCCCGCGTGCGCTGAAAACTCAGAGTGCGGACCAACCCTGCCTGGGAAGACTGAACTACAGGAATTGAGCCGTGGATGCTGCCCCATCGCGCAGATGTAGTCAAGCAGTCTTTCAACTCTGTCTGCCCTATGGACAGAAAGGCATCCATGTGTCATGTTGAAATCTCGGCAAGAACTAAACCTTCAGTCCGTGCAAGCTCGGCACCAGTGGCATCCCAAATGTCAACCGGCTGGAAGGATGCCCTGAATATCAGAGAATCAGAAGCCACGCGATGTTGAAGCGAAGGCTGGTCTCCAAGCAAGAAGCAACAGAGAGACGATGCGGCTGACCACCATATTCCCAAGAACGAACTCAGAGCATCCAGCCCCAATCGCAAAGACGAGATCAAAACGGCGATTTCGATGTTTCGCATCCTATACCCGCAATTTCTGGATCGAGAGTTAGACGCGAGAACGGCCCACATCTTCGCAAGGTGGCCTCTTGCGAGTCTTTCGCCTGGCTGCAGCCGATTGGAGTTCTTATCACTAGCTCTTAGTGCTGCTGGCGGCGGCGCAGCAGCAGCAGCAGTAGCAGCAGCTGCAGCAGTAGCAGTAGCAGGAGCAGGAGCAGGAGCAGTAGCAGTAGTAGTAGTAGTAGTAGTAGTAGTAGTAGTAGGAGTAGTAGTAGTAGTAGTAGTAGTAGGAGTAGTGGCGGTAATAGTCGTCTACTGTAGTAGGCGTTGTTGCAGTAGGAGGAGGGGGAGCAGCAGAGGAGCAGAGGCGGCAGCAGCATGCCGAGACATGAAGATCAGCCTTGGCATCTTCGGCCTTTCGAATTACTTGCGGGCAGCGAAAGAGCCGAAGCAGACATCTAGGTTTTTGAGTCGACGGCAACACGTAGCCAAACCCACATCTGTCCCTCTGCTTGTCTCAACCTCCCGGCAAAGAAGAATCTGAAGCCCAAATCCTCAAGATCCCTGCCCCTGAGATCCAGCACCAGACATGGACATCGCTGGAGGCTCTGAGAGGCAGGCCGCGGCCGCGAGCTCGAGCTACTGGAAGTAGATCTGCGGGACTCTGTCGGGGCTGAGGCCGGAGGGAGGGCGAAGCCTCAACAATGCAGAGGCCCCCAAAAAAGAGGCCCCAATATTACAGTATATTATAGTATATTATAGTATGTTATAGTATATTATAGTTTATTATTATGTATTATTGTGTA